AATGGGAATCACTCGATTGTGTCGACAGCAGCCGCCTCCCCGCCCTACGGCACTGTGGCTCCTGATTGGATATCTCGTTAGTCAATTACCTCATTAGTGGATATCCCGTTGAGGGACCATGCTCTACTGACAAAAATAAATAAATAATCCATCCTTTTTGTTTTGCTTGGATGCTGCTCTTTCACAAAATTCTTAAAAAAAGAAAAAAAAGGATTTCTATGGTCTGCAGTGGCAGTTAAGCCTCCTGCTCATTTACAGACATGACCGCTTGATGCCAGTCCCAGAGGGCCTCAAGTCAGTGGCATTTTAGCATCCAACGGTATGTGAAATCTGATTGAGTGACTTTCTTTTGCCCATTGCCGTAACTACGCCTTACTTGTCTATAGGGTGGGTAGATAAATAGCGAAGAGGACTAGAGGGATAGAGACCACGCCTGAACTCGCCAGCACACAGCAGTTAGTAAATGCGAGACTCTATGAAGTTCACTGCTCTTCCGATGTGTGTATTATTAAGGAAGATTGACAATAAAAAGTGGACGGTGGTTTCTGACGGATCATTGTTGAATGGGCGTTCAGTCTTAAGGAGTCAGAACGGTTCAACAGGAGTGCTTGTCAGAAAGTAGAATGACATCTGAAACCAAAACGTTAGGTTTGTGAACTCCTGTAACGTTCTGAATCCAGCAATCTGCAGATCATGCACACTTCCCGAAACAATTTGCAACGTGTCTTAAGGTTCAATAGTTGGCAGGATGTGAACTGTTTTCTCATGCCCTTTTTTTTTGGGACTACTTCCGTCACTTTTTAAAACGCAAATTTGTACACTTTGATTTTCGACGTTGTCAGATGACATGTCATTCTAGCTTTGGTGTGCAAGTTTTACTGGTTTACTGGCACAAAGTGAGGTTGTACACAGGTCCAACAGTTTAACAGCAGTTCATCATTATCGAATCAAACTCAAGAAAGTAGTTGAAAGAAACTTCCCCTGACAATGCCTTGTGTTAGCACTGGAACATCCCTCAACTGATGCTGCCAGCGTCTCTCTTAGCTCTTTCAAATAGAAGGTGTTTGTCTGACAGAAAATGCAATTGTCATTGTGCAGAAGACAGAAGGACAGTGCTGCTCTTTCTTGGAGGTCACTGATGGATTCATTTTAGGCTTTGCCTGCCTGCTGCACTGTGCGCTCTTGTCTCAGGAGAACTCACATGTCAAACCCAATACAAAACATAATCTGTGTAAAAAAGATCATTAAGCGATTTGCCGCGCTCCATTGTCCCGTCCACAATTACAGCAATAAGGATTGTATATGGAGGAGAGATTGCAGATTGATTTAAGCACTTGTCAGCTGTTGGGGGTGTCATCTCAAATCGTAAAAAACAAAGTCATTGCTGTGATCAGAACAATTGCACAGTAATGGAAACAAATAAATAGGTTTTTAGAGAAGAAAAAAAACCCAATCGTATATCGAACGTGGTTTGAGCCAGTGGCACCACTCTGTGGGGGGAAAATGAGGACAAGTTGACAGGTTCAGTTCTGTCAACAACATTACTTTGAACAAGCAAGTGACGCCACTACCTGCTTGCAATATAAGCTGCTCTGGATGAGGCTTAATATACAGTGGAGTGAGTAAAGTATGTAAAGTGAACCTTAGTTTCCTGGGTTTCTAGGACATGCTGGAATACATTACATCTGCCTTTCAGTGTGTCTACTTTTTGGGGGCGACTGCAAAGAAGCATTCAGAGAAGTGTTTTACTCATGCAAGTCTCTCCAGCTCGACCATCTCGTTCTTTCTCAGTTTCGCCTCTCTCTCTCTCTCTCTCTCCCTTTTGCACATAGATTTCCATCTATTTTTTAGGCAAAGACTGGCATCCCCCTCCTCTGTCCTCCTCCCTTCCCTTCACTCCCTGTCTACAATTCTCTAGCCTGAATGTTTTACATCTTGTACCTCCCATTTTCCCCTCTTCGTCCTCTTTTCTGTCTCCCTCCCTCTTTCTTTTATTCCCAATTTCCTCCCCTCTCTCCTTCCCTTGCACCTCTGTGCCTCGTTCTTTCTCTTTTCCTTCTCCCTCTCCTCTCACGCTCATTTTGCGTCTCTCCTCTTGTTTTACTGCCTCCCCTCATCTCTTTGCTGATGTCCCACTCTCTCGGGTCTTTCTTTCTCTTATATTCCTATATTCTTCCCTCTGCCCTCCCCTTCGCACCCTTCTGTATACAGTATCTCCTACCTCACACTTCTCCCTCCCCTTGCCCTCTTCCTGTGCACTCTCCACTCTTTGTCCTCTCTCTCTCTCTCTCTCTCTCTCTCTCTCTCTCTCTCTCTCTCTCTCACAGGACACGAACCTCACACATGGCTTATTGATTTTTAAAAGCAACGCCCAGACGTACAGTCGATGTAGGGCCCACAAATCTGCACACTGAGGATTTGAGACACATGTGCAGTTAGGTACATGCATACAGACAGTGTGCACAGCATGCACACTCCCAAGGCGTGCGGTGAATATTTAGATGATGCCAGTATGATTAACACAGGGTTTGTGATGGGGGGGAAGAGGGAGGGAGAAGAGGGGAGAGAGACTGTGCCTGTAGATGGCAGAAGAGGGCTTTAAGGGAACGTGTGGGAGCAGTGTCCACAAATACACACACACACACATACACACACATGCATGCACGCAAGCACACCAACCCACACATATTCTCATTAACCCTCACGCAGGCGCATATATATACGGCTTCACCTGTGAGGATATTTCTCCGCCTTACATAAATTCCCTAAACTGATTTCAGGCAAACACACACACACACACACACACGCACACACACACCCTTTAGCCCACCAACACGTAAACGCTGTACTGTAGATTACACTGAAGCTGCACTCAGACTGAGAATGAGTGGTCAAGAAATCCGAAGCACTGTCGATTACTTTGATTACACTATGGACATGAAATTGTCGAATGACGTGACTGGTTTTCTTAATGAGAAATGAGCTTTGCATGTTTCTCTCGAGGCTGGTCAGTGACGAGACTCCCTCTGAAAGCCCCCTGACAATTTTTTCATGTTTCTAAGAAAAGGGATTTTGAATATGGGTGTTTTTTCCTTTTAGAAATGTAAGTGTTTGGATTTGTGTGGCAAAGTGCATTTGTTTTTGTGTCGACACAAAACAAATTTTCAATACATAGTCCTATGTACAGTTGGTTGGTTGTGTGTTGTGTTGTCTGAGCTTGGAATTAACTTTATTGGATCCAATAACATTTGATGATAAGATAAAGAATCAACATAAGATATTTAGATTCAAGTTAAGAAACAAAATCAATGATTTGATGACAAAAAACGATCAAATTAAATCACCTCATATGCCCAACAATGTCCAGTGTTTTACTGCTAATTCATTTTCAGTGATAGTAAAGTAGTTATAAGTACAAGTAATTAAAACTCACTCAAACTACTTGTGAGGTTTCCAAAAAAAACAACACACCATGCTCCCAGCTCTCTTAAGTCAAATGGCCTCAAGTCCAAGGACTCAACATCATCTCGACTCTGAGCACAGTCCATTCATAACCTTGGAGGAAAACCACATGCCATGCAGCCAGAAGCGGATGGTCGGAGATGGGCTCTGATACATTGGCTTCCTCTGAGGGTAAATAAAAAATTGATGCATGTGAAAAATAGATACCCAAGACAGTTCATTCAGTAGTTAGAATCTGCTCAGAGCGTCTCTGAATCAAACCCACACCTCAAATTCTTACATTTTTAATTCCACTGTTCACTGTGCAACAATTGACACCTTGCCCATTTCAACCTCTCCATACGAAAGCTGTGACACATTTGGTTATCTCATGACAATAACATGCAACTTTGTGGCTGTTTAAAAAAAAAAAAAAAGAAATCTTAAGCTCCAGTTGCCTTAAACCATGAAGATGTCAGCTGGCAAACTCAAGCTGATGAGTATTATGATGTATGTATATCCCAGGCTGTTCTTTTATATTTGTAAAGCATATTAAGTTCACAGCGGCACTTGGGCTTTTTGTTGTTATTGACTTGATAGCTACTTATCATTTTCTCTTTTTAAAGTAAGAAAATCCATACACAATTTAATTCTTTGCCTCAGTATTTTTGAACGATGTGGCCGTGTGTTAGACTGACAAAAGAAAGGGAATTGTGCCAATTACAACACCGCCATTATGATATTACTTTCAATAAAACTGAAATATGTGATACCGTTTTGAGTTGGAGGTGACAAAAGGCAGGATTCTTCATATCTTCCCTCATTACTGCTGGCGTGTTATGGATGAGATATGATTTTGATTGTAGCAACATACCAACGCTGCAAATACATCTAGGAAAATGGTCCAAGAAGTTTCTAGGATAACGGAGTTGCCAAGATGGGACACTAAGGGGACAAGGAGCTAATAGGAGCTGTTTTGATTGATACAAGTGTTATTAGTGGTATGAATACTATATTTTAATGTATAATATTTAGACTATCATAAAATATTAATATAGTAATCATTCTTTGTTGTTTTACTGCATTTTCCCTGTGGACCGGGTTGATATCGCAGCAGAAGCCGTAGCAGCTAACATACAGTTGAATTCGTACTGCTACTTAACGTTCACAAATATTGACAAGAAAACCATTAGTTGCCATGAAGAACTCAACAGCCTCACTTCACATGACAAATGGATTTGCGTCTGCGTCCATCATGTGCCACCAAATCCCAAACTCTTCCTTGTATTGATTTCATTTTAGTGGACAAGTGGATCAATGAGTGATGCTGGGCAAACTATTATTGGCTGGTTCATGTGACTATTGGATAAAGCTCAGCGTGTGGTCACTGTGAAAGGGCAGTGTTATATTCCTCTCATGTGTTTTCATTTTATTGAATGTGGCTTGGTTTCCCTCTTTGTTTTGGTCTAATTTGGGCATCCGTAGGTAAAGTTTGGGCATGCGCCCAATCCATGTGCCAGTGGACGCTCCTGCATTTTGCGTCCTGTTCACAGCGCTGCAACAGCAAAGAGGACACAAGAGTATTCCTCTGCGTACAGCCTGATGTTCCAAATTAACCAACACCCACCCAAACAACAGTCTACTTTTACCAGAGTCCATTTTATGCTATTATTTCTGAGCAAAAGCACGTGAGTGGAAGCAGGAGCTTACAAGGAGCACTTGAAAGCAGCATTTCTGTACTGGCAGGGAGAAGGAAGAGACGCACCAGCCGCTACACCCGGAGAATAGACCGAAGTGCACCGAGCAGAGGGGATGATGCACGTCTCCTCTGGATTTCTGACAGCAACTGGAATTGTCATTTGATCTTTTTCTCATCGGACTTTCACGGAGAACTAAAGGAGGACTTGTCTCCACGTGACGAGCAAGCTCCTGTTTGGCTTGTTTGGTAAGGCAATTGAAAAGGAATGACTGATGGTGACGCTTATGTGAAAATAAGTCAGATGAATGGTGGACTCACGAGAGAGTGATTCATTTTGTCTTCTTTCAGGAGGGGTGAAGATGCAACATTTTGCTCGCGGCTGTCTGTGAGAGGAAAGGAGGAGAAGAAGAAGAAGAAGGAGGAAAAGAAGAGGAAGGTTTGACAGACGCACGAGTGAAGAGACGGATGGGAGGAGGGTTATCCGGCCACTAAAAAGAAATACAAACAAATCCCCCTGTACATTCCCGAGACACCAAGGGGACCGGACACACCGCAGAGGGGATTTTACAAGAGACACGCGAGACAGGAAAGGAGACTCGTACCGTGCGAAACGACACGGGAGGAGAGGCTTTTGAGGACGTGGGGGGGAGAAAGCCAAATTAAAAGCGGGATATTTCAGAATGGAAAAGGGATGTAGCCCGGAGGCAGTGTGGATTTGAAGCTCTCCCTGACTCTCTAGCACTCTTTTGCAAGAGAACGGGACGGAATAGAGAGATATTGACGGCAAGCGTTGGAGAGTGGATTTGAAGACAGAGACAACCTGTGTGCCCGTCCCATCTCCCCCTCTGCTTGTCTCTCTCTCTCTCTCTCTCTCTGGATGTTCACTGAATTCATTTTGGGGATATGAAGGATTTATCTCGTCTATGTTAGAAGGAGGAGGCAAAGAAAACGCACGAGTCCCCCACATCCCTCTCCCCCTCTCTCTCTCTCTCTCTCGCTCTCTCTCTCTCTGTCTCTCTCTCTCTCTCTCCCTCCGTTTTTCTGGATGTGAAGCAGCATGCGGCCCGGTGAGAGCTTAGAGGGCTCGCGCTCGGCTCGCGGAAGATGCATTGCTGTTAATAATATTACCAATAGCGGCACGGAACGCTGTCTCGCGCACCCCGCGTCGCCAAAGAGGAGTATGAAGAGGGGGACGACGAAGAGGAGGATCAGAGGGATGAACGAGAGGATGACTGACGGAGGAATGACGGTGATGCGCTGTTTTCTGTGGAGTCTCGTTCTGAGCTCGCTCTCCTCGCGCGCGCAAGGTAAGGGGGATGCGACACGCGCGCACACACACACACATAAAACACACACAGAGTCAAAAGAGCACTCCACACGCAGTGACATAAACGCCCTCACGCGCACACTCGCGGTTTGGGTGAGACTGCGTGCTGAGTTTTTTTTCTTCTTCTGCAGTAAAAAGAAAGATGCTGCTTCTTGTGTGCGCGTGTGGGGTGAAGAAAGCGTGTGTGTGTCAGTGTGATCGTGTCTGCGTGCGCGTGAGGATGTCTGTGAGGTGTCTGTGCATGTGTGTGAGTGAGAGGGGAGATGTGCGTGCGGGCGCGTGCGTGCGTGCGTGGATGTATGGTGTGTTGCGGAGGAAAGAGGAGAAATAGAAATTGGCTTACAGGGAGGATGAAGGGAAAGAAGGATAGAACCGGCAACAGCCTCTTTCCCTCTTTCCTCATTTTCTGCTTGCTTCAGTTTGCTCTTTCTCGCTCTCTCCCCCTCCTCCTCTCTCTCTCTCTCTCTCTCTCTCTCTCTCTCTCTCTCTCTCTCCCTCTCCCTCTCTCCCTCTCTCTCTCCTTCTCTTCAATACAGCCATTGAGCCAGTAGCCAATAAATATTCTTGCGGTAGCTCTTGGGCTGTGGCAGTGAACGTGAGCTGCTTATACCAAAGTGCGTGCGTGAGTGTGTGTGTGTGCGTGAGTGTTAGTGCGTGTGTGTGAACGTGAGTTGTTTATTGTGATGAGACTAGAGTCTTACACAGCATTTTATCCCCAAATATCTGCCACCATGCCTATTTGTTCATTTTCTACCCTATTTCAGTTAAACAACGTTATATAATGGCAGCGTCTCCCTTATTCTCGCTCTCTGTCTCTCTCACGCACTTTCGTACTTTGTCCCCCCCCCACTCTGTCGCCCTCTCCCCCTCCCCCCTGTCTCCCCCTCTTTCCTTATTGGGTGAAATAAAATGTGAACATATTCACAGTACAGCACACTCTCCCACTTTCTTTGTCGGTCTGCGTCTTGGTCTTCCTCTGCTTTCCATTTTTAGTTTCTCTCATCTTGTTCAGAAATGCCGTATGAACGCACACATTTGAGTGTGAGCGCGCACACACACACACACACACACACACACACACACACACGCACAGATATATACACTCATGCAAACACACCCAGTGCTGCAGCAGGTGAGGCTTCAGTGGTATGGAAACTATTCATCACCGTATCTCGAGCAGAGGAAGGGAGAGGAGGATGGAGTGGAGGAGTAAAAAGATGAACAGGGAGGAGGAGAAAAGAGAGGGGGGGAGGGAGAGACTGAAAATGGGCTCTTTAGGGAGGAGAGGAAAGGAGGGAAAGAGAAAGTTGAGTGACAGAAAAAGAGAGAAATAATTCCATAGAAAGAGACGGAGCAAGTTTAAAGACACTCATGGAGCTCCTGGCAACACCAAGCCAGGTGGATTTGGTCACAGAAAGAGATTTGGCGAGCAGAAAGGTGGAGTTTTGTGTTTGTTTGTAAATTGTCCAAGACGACAAAAGGAAACCTCAAAAACTGCCGCGGAGGCTGTGAGAACCATTGTAAAGTCCGCCTGACCCTCCAGTGTGAGGAGACCATGTGTAGGCTGACCGAGCAGAGATACAATGGATTTCTACAGTGACGCGTCTAGACACTTGGCTTTGTACTATATCTGATTCTAGTTTCACTCTGAAAAAAACCCCAACCAAAAACAGGAATCTGCAGCCTTTGTGGAAAGGATTTCTTTTTTTTCTGTATGCTTCACTCTGATGGACACATGAGAGATTGTGATTTGCAGTCTGTCAAGCTAACAGGAGGACAAGAACGGTGGGATTTCCTCCGGCACAAAGGATCTAATTTGAAACCCTTTGGGGGCACAGATCTTGGCGCTGATCTCCTCACGGCTGCCTGTGAGAGTCCTCATAGTATCAGACACTTCCAGGCGCCTCGTGCTATAAATGTGGCCTATTCGAGGCTGGCTCACACTTTTAGCTAAATGCGAATTTCAATTATGATGAATAAAATGCCAAAGGTCGATTCGTAAATTGGAAACCCCCCAAATACATCCTTTTTTTATTTTTGTGTGTGTCAAGGCTGGAAAGCAAGGTGAATAAATGTGTAATTAAATGTCCCCTTGATCCATGCGGACATTTTGGGGACCAAGGCTTCAAAAAAAAAAAACAGAGGCTGGAAAATTAAAACCAGCCAGCGGCCAAAATGCTGTTACATTTGTGGCTGTGGCTGGTGAATTAGTCTACTCTACCGGCCCTTTGGCAGGTAACCAATCATTGTATGGACCTGCAATTATATTCTAAAAAGCAATCTAAAAGGTGAAGTAATGAAGTAGGCGGTAATGGATTCACACAGCGCTGAAGCCAGTGGACAAAAACGCTAATTTCTCAGCTTGCTTAATAACACATTTGACACAGAGAGATGCGGCGACATTTCCTAAAGAGGTAGCATCATTTTGTCCCGATGCCGGGGTTCTAATAGAGCAGCGAGTGCTCCACACAGTCTCGGTGTAGTTAAAGCAGGTCAGGAGGGTGAGAGGTTTCAACTCTCCAGCTTGCTGTGGACCCCGTCTGCGTATCTAGGCTATTATAAAAGTGTTACTCTTTTTCGTTTGCTTTTGAATGCCTCGTAATAAAAAAAAATGATGTTGAGAAATCATCCTCAAATTAAGTTTCTCTCGCAGTCAGATGATGAAAAATTGCCGTACGTGTCCTCTGCCCCCCCTCTGATCCCCTCGTGTCTGTTTCATCTGCTCTCCTCCCCGCTGCTCCGCTCAGCTTAACTCCACCTCTCCTCTCCTCCCCTCTTCCTGTCCCCTGCCCCACCCCCCCTGTTTCTCCTCTCCTCCACTCAGCACTTCTTCTGTGCTCTCATCTCTCCTCCGGGCTCCCACTCTTTCCTTTTCGTCTGTCAGATTTGTCCTGTGGCTCCAGAGGCTTAATTTACTCACCAAACATACTCAATGCGCACATGCACACAAGACAGAAAAAAACAAACACACACACACACACACATTTCTCACCGTCTCCCAGGCGCTTCAATGTATTCCGGGCTACATTCAGCCTGTCAGAATCGAACCGAGAGCGTCCAACATCACAACCTGCACCTTTCTGCAACCGAACTGTGCCTGAGCTTCTTTTCACCGCCCGCCTTTCAGGATGAACCCCATCACAGGTTTACCGACGGCACGGATTTCATCGGCCCTCCATCAAAGGACCAACGCGGATCAATCGCCGAGCACTAATTATCTTTGAGACAGTCGGGTAATCCATTGGTGGTCATCGTTGGGGTTAGGGATTCAAACAGGTTCTTCAAAGGCAGCATGGTGACCCAAGTAATTAAAACCCGCGGCTAAAAATAGCTAATTTGATTTATATACACGAGCCATGGAAATGTAGCGCTTTGTTCTTGCAACATGGCCACCTTGAAATGTATCAGTCGTCCCGTGGTAGCGTCTAGTCATTTAATGCTGGTCATCAGTGTTACAATTAGACAAGCTGCCCAGGCGCAGTGGAAGGGTTCCTCCAACCAGCTTTCACAAGCTTTCACATATCAGAGATTGATCGGTGCGGACGACAACTCCGACGTTAATTATAAGCCATTGATTGATCTTGTCCATTAATACGCCCGCTGCTAATCATTTACCTGTGTTAGCTACTGCTGGAGTATTTTGGTAATCATTCTCTGCTTGTCAATTATCGATTGATATTCTACGCACAATTAATAACGAGGCTTAATGGTGAGCTCGGAGGCAAAAGGAAAGAAAAGATGCCCGCATTGACAAGCACGGGGACACGCCGTCTCTTTGCGTTTTCTCGGCTGAATTCACTCATGCACATGACGGGCATTTGGACTATTGGTACACTGTGCACACACACACACACACACACACACACACACACAAGCTGAGGCAGAAGAGCACTCTCGCACTGAACATTAGCGCAACGCAGACTCTAACACACATTTAATCCCGTGGTTTATGGCTGGTTTCTCAGAGGAGCGAGATGTGTCTCTCGCAGAGTCGGCCTCTTGATCATATAAATACTTTTGACTTACAGAGGAAGAGCGATAGAAAAGAGGGTAAGATCAAGGTGGCTGGGAAGAGGGTGAGAGTAACACATAATGCATACGCATACGTATTTTTTTTTCCGTTTTATACTGTTGCCTTCTCAACTACATTCTCTCCTCATCTGTCCCTCTTGCCTTTCACTCACCTAATCCTCTCCTGCTTTTCCAACCCCTGTAGAGTGAATATGTAATTGTTTTTTCTTGCTATCCCGCCTCCTCTCCCAGAGGTAGTAGAGCATAACGTAGCACAAGGAAATGTAAAGGCGTGGATTTGTCCTCCACACCAGAGGCCAGGAATCACATTCCAGCTCATACTTCCTAATGTTGACTTTTTTTACATTTTTTAACCACAAGCACAATCTTTTCCTTAACCTGGTGGCTTTATTTACATAAATCCATAAATGTAAAGATTTTGCTGATGCATTCAATATGAACATATCTGGTTCAGTACGTTGGTGATCTGGACAGCGTTAATATTCCCCAAAAGCTTGTTTTCCTGATGCAAAATATTTGTCTATGAACGTAATTACTTGGATAGAGGTGGCCCTTAATCCTCCGAGCAAGTGTTGCTTCCTATTTCCCAAATAATCTAACGCCTTTGATATTTTTCCAACATTAGAGGGCATCGCGATCTCAGTTCTCCCTCTCTTGTCTTTTACGATTTATTCTGTGCTAGTGTGGTGTTACTACTGGGATCTCCCCCCGTTGAGTAATGAGCAAGTATGTGTTTGCTGCGTGTATGCTTATCCTTGATACTTGGGCTGCTCCATACATATTGTTTCTCTCCATCCATCTTCCTCCGGCCCTAATCGCCCATTCTCCCCCCCCGCCTCCCCCGACCAACATTCACCCATGGTGAATTTCTAATCACCACCTTTTCTCACATCCCACATCCCACATCTCTCCTCTTCCCTCCTTTCCTTTCATCCTATAGTTTTGCCT